CATGGAATGATGAGTGGTGTATGTTGACTGGTGTATGATGAGTGGTGTATGACGAGTGGTGTATGATGAGTGGTGTATGCTGACTGGTGTATGATGAGCGGTGTCTTGACCAGCAGTTGAATGTCCTGTCCTGCATAACTGCAACCAAATACTATCAGTATGAACTGAACGTGCACGCCGCGAGAGATGACTCAGCAGCGAGAGATGACTCAGTCGCGAGAGATGACTCAGCCGCGAGAGATGGCTATAGCGAGAGCTGACTCAGCAGCGAGAGATGAATGAGCAGCGAGAGATGACTCCTCCGCGTACTACACTGTTTGCCAGTACAACTCTAGTTGTACTACGAAGTCGCCAGTCCTCAGCTTCTATCTGCACAGATTGCTCCGCGTGCTGAAGTTGTACTACAAAGTCGCCAGTTCTCAGCTTCCAGCTTGCCAGATACTCCGCGCGCTAAAGTTGTACTACAAAGTCGCCAGTTCTCAGCTTCCAGCTCTACAGATTGCTCCGCGTACTAAAGTTGTATTTGAAAGTCGCCAGTTCTCAGCTTCCAGCTCTACAGATACTCCGCGTACTAAAGTTGTACTAGAAAGTCGCCAGTTCTCAGCTTCCAGCTCTACAGATTGCTCCGCGTACTAGAGTTGTACTAGAAAGTCGCCACTTCTCAGCTTCCAGCTCTACAGATTGCTCCGCGTACTAAAGTTGTACTAGAAAGTCGCCAGTCAGTCCAGCTCTACAGTTTGCTCCGCGTACTAGAGTTGTACTAGAAAGTCGCCAGTTCTCATCGTCCAGCTCGCCAGATACTCCGCGTACTAAAGTTGTACTACAAAGTCGCCAGTTCTCAGCTTCCAGCTCCCCAGATGCTGCGCTTGCCACGAAATCTGCACATGGAGGTTCGCAAAGTGCTGTGCCTGCCACGAAATCTGCACATGGAGGTTCACAAAGTGCTGTGCCTGCCGCGAAATCTGCACCTGGAGGTTCACAAAGTGCTGCGCCTGCCACGAAATCTGCACATGGAGGTTCACAAAGTGCTGCGCCTGCCACGACATCTGCACATGGAGGTTCACAAAGTGCTGTGCCTGCCACGAAATCTGCACATGGAGGTTCACAAAGTGCTGCACCTGCCACGAAATCTGCACATGGAGGTTCACAAAGTGCTGTGCCTGCCACGAAATCTGCACATGGAGGTTCACAAAGTGCTGCGCCTGCCACGAAATCTGCACATGGAGGTTCACAAAGTACTGCGCGCGCCACGAAATCTGCACATGGAGGTTCACAAAGTGCTGTGCCTGCCACGAAATCTGCACATGGAGGTTCACAAAGTGCTGTGCCTGCCACGAAATCTGCACATGGAGGTTCACAAAGTGCTGCGCCTGCCACGAAATCTGCACATGGAGGTTCACAAAGTGCTGCACCTGCCACGAAATCTGCGCATGGAGGTTCACAAAGTACTGTGCCTGCCACGAAATCTGCACATGGAGGTTCACAAAGTGCTGTGCCTGACATGAAATCTGCACCGGGAGGTTCACAAAGTACTGCGCCTGCCACGAAATCTGCACCTGGAGGTTCACAGAGTGCTGTGCCTGACACGAAATCTGCACCTGGAGGTTCACAAAGTGCTGTGCCTGCCACGAAATCTGCACCTGGAGGTTCACAAAGTGCTGCACCTGCCACGACATCTGCACAGGGAGTGCTGTGCCTGCCACGAAATCTGCACATGGAGGTTCACAAAGTGCTGCGCCTGCCAAGAAATCTGCACATGGAGGTTCACAAAGTGCTGCGCCTGCCACGAAATCTGCACTTCAAGAGACAAGTGAAAACCTAATCACAATGGACGGCCGTCCGAGCATGACCCGAGACCGTCTCGCAACAGTCGTTCCGCAGAGCTAGACTTGCCAGGTTCGAAGCCACCGGTTCTATTGAAAAATACAGCATTTCGTGCGTCCGCTATCTCTCGAAAACGCATTTTGTATTGCACCTGCCACGAAATCTGCACATGGAGGTTCACAAATTGCTGCACCTGCCACGAAATCTGATGAGTGGTGTATGATGAGTGGTGGTTGAACAGCTGTTGAATGTCCGTAACACGGAAGTTCCTTCTAAACTTCCTTTGATAAGTAATACTTATAAATTAGTTACAACTTACTTTTTCTATGCTAACTAAGTTATAAGTAATATAACTAAAACGACCCACACAGTAGAGCATTGCTCCGCAGCGTTTTCAGATGAATTGAGACTCAGCTGGCTCAGCGCGGCGGATTGCGGAAAGGTGGCCGCGTTGACGTGGTATTTGATCAGAAGACTACACTGTAGGACCCACACTGCAACTGCTGATCCAAGAGTATAGCCATCTCACCAAATTGCAAAACTGCATTCCGCATGGTGGCCGTCATGGAAGAGGCTCCAACGATCTGCCTAACCTTGGATGGTTGTGCTATGGCGGCGCTTCAGGCGTATCTGATGGAGCTGAAGTGGGATGCATGTGAGCTCAGTGGCTGGGTCAGGGCACAATTGGAATTGCTGCCAGCTCTGAACGTCAATTTAGACTTCCATGGCCGGGAACTGCAAGACGCGCAAAGCAGCGGTTGATGCCTCACGAGCCCTCATTCAAGTACCAGTCACCTTGAAGCATTTGGTCTGGCAACGCGCCTATCATGACCAGGGTGAGCCAGTGTCAGAGGAATGGATCAGTGAGATTGCGGCCAATGAAGGCCAGATGTGGGCTCGTGGGATGGCGGAGGAGCCTGACTACAACCCCACGGTTGGCGTTGAGTCTCATGAGGTGATGGGCGTCCGACCAAGGCTGGCCCATCATGCTCAAATGGCCAACGAGTTGCCATGGCCGTCCAAGCCACTTGTGGGGATCCTCGCCTTCGTCGTTATGCAGCTGCTTTGCCCACTGGCGAGAAGAGCAGCGGCATGTGGACGGGGTGCGCTCATCCCTTGGCGTGGGGCAGGCCACTGAAGTTCGAGGATGGATCTATGCCTGCTGGGTTTTTTTGCAAGCAGGACTTGGCCGCCGCCAGGTGAATATACCACACCGCAGTGCATGGAGAGCACTCCAAAAAGGCACCGCCTGCAAGCTGACGAATGGGATCAATTGCAAGCGTCGCGCGTTCCTGAGAAGCTGCTCAAAGCTCCAGGTACTGACACCAGAGCTTGGAAGCTGTATGCAAGCGAGGGCGCAACATGTCCCAAGCAACTGCTCGAGGAGCTTCATGAGCAGGATGCCAAAGTCCTTGCTATCTATGGCCTGGCTGCACGACGAATGACTGTTTGCTGAAGGACAAGGACCATGTCATGAATGGCAAGGTGCAGCCAACGTCGACCAAGCTCACTGTGCATTTTAAAAAGCCGATTGGTCGTGTTGATGTCTTCAGGCGCCTGGTCAACGCAGAGCACAGTGAAGGGAAACACAAGTGACAGCTCTTCCGCGCAGGAGTGCAATGTGAACTGTGCAAAAAGACAACCAAGAGTTGTGCCACGCGCTCCGCTTGAGCACAAGGAGGCCGAAAGGTGCGCGGGAGTGGCAGTCAAGACAATTGTTGACATCATGAGACAGCTTGTTGAGGACAGTGTCATCAACCCGGTTGATTTCCCGGGCCACAGATTGTATCTTCAGGAATCCTCCTTTGGTTGCGCTCGTTGTTGGCAGCGTGTATCACGAAGATGTGGAAAAGATGCCCTCCGCAGCTTGCAGGATTCCGCCTGTGAAGGTGGAAAAATCGAGAGTGAAGCAGATCTCCCCATTCGAGGGCGCTTGCGTATGAGTCATGTGCTTGAGAGGCACGGTGCATGGGTTGAGTGCCTGCAGTGTTTGAAGTCTTTGCGGGGGGAGGATGGGAAGCGGCTACAGTGGCTTGGCTTGGAGCGCGTCAAGGCCAAGGGACAACAAAAGCTGCGCTTTGGGCCCACAAGCTCGGAATCTTGATGGTTGAGGGACCGATTTCTTCCTGAGTGGTTGAGCCGCTGGCAGCTCAAGGAGAATGAGCCTTGCTGTTTGGTGCTGCAGTCTCCTAGTGGCGCCCCTGTTTTTGGCTAGCGCCACAGGGTCGAGCCAAGAAGGAAAAGGACCGCGCTGAAAAAAGAGAGAGAGATAGAGAGAGGGAGAGGGAGAGAAATAAAAGAACACGTGAAAGAAAGTTAACAAGGTCTAAAGAAAGAAGGAAGGAGAAAAAGAGGTGAATATTACGTACCTACAGAAGAATTAGGCACCCTCGGATGCAAGTGAAACCTTTTTTCTTTTCATGGGGGCAACCGCAGACGGAGAGGACGTGCACTGTCACTGTACATTTTAATTCTTGCAGCTTGGTGGCGTGCCTCCCCCATCACCCAGCCCACCACATTCAACAAACCCTGAAACTCAACGACGCCGCCCTTTGATTCAGGCAATTAACCTTTGATTTTTGGCCGAGGAAGCGTGAAATCGGTAGTGAACACTGTTTGAGAATGTGAGGATTTTGTCAACAGGAACATGGCACTTGGATACATTGCGTTTTCGGTGCAATGGTGGGAATGAATACGCAACCAACGGATATGGGTTGAATGGAATTCAATGGAAGAGGCTTGACCCGGCTGCTTGTAGTGTCATCAGCTTCCCAGCAAACGCTCACACCTGGCAGCAAACTGAACTACTCAAAACGAAAGAAACCCTCAAGTTCAACAGCCTAGATTTTGTTTGCAGGATTGCTCATACTTGCAGCACATGGATGACATGTCTTTGGAGGGCCGGAATGCAGAGACGGTCTGAATCTTGAACCGTAATTGATTTTACCGGCAGTCTGTTTCAGCGCTGGTTCATTTTGATTCATTTTCGTTGTACCGACGCTACCTGCTCTGAGAATTCGACCGCAGCTGGCTTTGGACACGACAAGTCAGGAGAAAGTACAAAAAATCCTGCAAAAACTTCCCTGCAGATCCTCAAACCTATATGGTGCAAGTCTTCCTGTCAATAGATCTACTGCAAGAGACCTCAAGCATAAGTTCTGCAACATGTTTCCGAAGCAAGTTCTACAGGGTCCTTTTTTCTTGATATGTCAGCAACCCTGCCATTGTTGCTCCAAAGGCGGGCACGATTCTGTCAACGTCCGACGGTCAAATTGCCCTCAATGAAACCGCCTCACTTGCCTCGAGGCTGAATGCCGGGTTTGCACTTGGACACTTTAGCTGGAAACATAGAAACACCAAATACATGATGGTAAATGAAGTTCATATGTTCATATGACGTTCCACTAGTGCGCTTTGAATTCACCAATGGGACAGTCTTTCCCAGGAAATGCCGGCTTTTCCGTGGACAGAGCAGCTGCCTTGGGAAGACAGAGTGAAAATGATCTCTACTTGCCAAATTTTGTTCGTAAATTTGACAAATCCTTCGCATGTATTTCTGCAGTTGGATGCGTTGCTACAGCTCATTTTGAATCGTTTTGTAGATTCGTCCTTGAGGAGGCGGATACTTCGACCAGGTATAAATCTAATATTCTAGTCTATATACAGTAGTTAAGTTCTGACATTTTCATTAGAAAGTTGGCCTGGCAGAAAGAGGCGAGTACGGGAAGAGGTTTCACAGCTCAAGAAGGTTTGGCGCAGATTCTAATAATGCTGTCAATGTGAACTGCCTCGAAGAGGAAGACACATCAATGCCCTCAGGGCTTTGCGGTTCTGAACTTTGAACTGCGGGCTTTGAACGGCATTCGGAGGAAATTCAAGTGATTCAAATGACAACTGTTTGAGCCTACGACAAGCGTTGGCGTGTGCCTGAGAAAGAGAAACAACAGGTCAGAGCTCAGATGGTCTCCGCTGCCTACTGGCATGGTCGACTCCTGAAGATTCAAAAGCAGTGAAGAATCATTCTGCTTTCCTTGGTTGACTCCGGAAATGTTTCTCCTTCGGCCTTGCCAAGGACAAAATTCATGTGACTTCCTTTCAAGCAGCCCCTGCCCGAGTATTCTTCTCACTTTTGGTTCAGCTTTTGGCTCAGCGTCTAGCATCTCCCATTTGGAGGCAGGTGAAGGGCTATGTGAAGAAGGATTCCGCTGTGTCTCTAGGATTTCCAAGTTTGGCCTTGACCCTAAGTGAGATTTCAACTGCAAGGGTGCCAGCAAGGACCTAAACTGCATTATTATTGTTGAGGTACGGGACATTGGGGCCAGGTTGACCCCGGCAAAGAGGAGATTGTTGCTTTGCTCAGCTTGGTGTTTGCTGAATGTGATTAGATATCATTCAAGCATGTTCAGTGTTCAGCACTTTATTTGCTGTGACAATCCGTAAGTTTCTTTTGACACCATCACCTGCATCTCTGTCAGACGCCAAAAAAATTCTTAGGCAGATGATGGCTCAGCACCTGTGTATGAATGGGGCTGCCCATTTCAAGGGGCCAGGCTCTCACTGGCAGATGGCGAATAAAGGTGACTCCTCGTCTGCCAAGGAGTGGTCTGAAAATAAGTACGAAAGCGGGCCTGGTGATGATCAGCTTGGTGCTCAGATTGAGAGGGAGGGGTATGTTCTCGTCATTTGCGCACTGCGCCTCCAAGCATTGGCAGAACACCACCGCTGGCATGAAATATGAATGTGCCTGTCTCGCAGTGTTTTGAACAAACAATCAAACAAACAAACAAACAAGTAAACAAACAAACAAACAAACAAACAAGCAAACAAGCAAACAAACGAACAAGCAAACAACATTGTAACATAATATCTAATATATAATTTTATATGATATAGTTATATTTATATTCGTGGCACTGAAGCATGTTGCACTCAGCGAGTGCTTTTGGTTTCCCTCCATCTGACCCCAGGGCCTGAATCAGGCAGAGAACATAGGGAACAGACCTAGTTGAGAGCTGGACGGAGTTGGCATGAACAAGCCCTGCTGACGGAGCCACAAGATTCGTTGTGCCCGTGACCACATCTTCCAAGTCTTGGACATTTTTGGTGTAGAAAAACGAAGAATGAGTTTTTCCAGTGCCAATTTGTGAAGTATATATAAGGGGGGGGGATGGTGGCTTGAATGTGCCATTTTGGCTCAAGCCACTGTCCCCCGTGGCTTCTTTTAAGCCACGGGTTTTGTCAGGCTGGCCTGTCTTTTTGCGGGCCTTTGGGCTTTGGGGTATGTTCCCCGCAGAGAGCGCTGCCCTCACCATGACCCGCGTGGCGGACATGAAGGAGTTCTACGGCATGTCGGATGGCCTGTGGAATGCCTTTGTTGCGGAAGCGGGCGATCCAGCCGACGACCTTCGTTTACTTGCCGCCCTGCCGGGCGAAGCTGTGGCCGCTTCCCTCGACCAGGCAATGCTCAATGGCCACCAACCTCTGAGCGGCCCAGGCGGGGTTAATGTGGAAATTGGCAAAAAGGATCATGTACACTCGAAAAGAAGGGGCCTGGAGCACTTGGCAGGAAGAAGATCCATGGACTTCGACAGATCCATCATCACCAACCGGGGAGGGCACGAAGGACCGGAAATTGAAGTGATCACAAATCATCGATCAAGGGGACGTCAGAGTTCACCGTCCTCCCGGAAGAGAAGAAGAGGCTATGGCTCCAGCAGTATGTACAGCTGACTGGAGCCCTACCAGAGCCGACCTTGGAGCAGCTGAGCGCTTTACACAAGAGGCTTGCAGAAGGCCTGACTCCACATGTGGACCTGGCCGTATGGGTTCCTTTCGGGAGGAAGGCACTACGGGCTTCGAAGTTCAGGACTTGGATTTTCACGGCCGAGGGCTACACGGCGAAGGCGCTTCCAGGTCCAGCAAATTTCACTCAATGGAGAGCTTGCTTCAGGGTCTTCATAACAGCCATGCCGATGTTGAAGGAGAGCGCACTTGCACCCTTGCACGCCTACGAGCTGTACATCGAGAATCGATGAGGATGACGATGGACATCGAAGCAGGGAGGCCGACACCGTATACGATGTGGCAAGGCCTTGGGAATCAATCTACAAGTTGCTACCACAGGAGATGAAGTTCTGGCAGGATCAGGTGCACTCTCCAGCCCTCACTTGGCTGGCCAATGGGGCCAGGGGGAAGGCCATGACACCACAGGAAGTCGTGGCCCAAGGATCCATGACAGGAGGGGCGGAAAGCTTGATCCCCGCTTTCGTGTCAGGTGCAACGGGGCATACACAGCTGCATCGTCTTCTCGCCGTCCTTCTGTTCACCTTTGCTTCCTGTCTCCTCCGTCTTCATTCCTTTTGCTTGCATTGGTGAGCCGGATGCCCCGGCGAGTTGCACTCCGTACATCGATGTGCTCTCTTCACACTGTTCTGGCATTCTGCGCCTGCTGGTAGGTTGCCACTGTCCTTTCTTTCCCGACCCTTTGTAGTGGTGTTGATTGCGAGTCCCACCACCACCAAATGAAGTCGATGTGTGGGCCCGTGCTCTTAGTCTTGCCAGTTCTTCCTTCTCTGCCTGGATCTTCCTCCTCTTTGCCTCCTTTCTCTCTTTGTTTGCCGCCCTTCTGGTGAAGGGGCAGGGAGACCAGCAGGAGCAGAACGAGAAGGAAGAGATGGGACCACCGAAGGGGAAGAGAGCTCGGAAGGAGGAGAAGGCGAAGGAAACAGTGAGGTACATCAGAACTCGGAAGTTCAGGTTCATCCATCAGACGACCCCTTGCGCAAGGAGATCGAAAGGCAAGCAAAGAAGAGGGGCATGGACGTGGAGGTGATCTCGGTAGAGAAGGGTTGGGGGCAGGATTTGACCCAAAGAGAACCTTACGAGACACAATTGCAACGGGCGAAAGATGGCGCGGTGGATGGCTACCACCCAGGCTTCCCATGCAACACGTTCAGCCGTTTGAGACATCGACCTGTGCCAGGTCTGCCAGGACCAGTTCGATCACGTGTAGAACCCTACGGCCTGCAACAAATTCGGAGCGGCAGCAACAGGAGGCGGACCAGGGCACGGTGATGACGGCGAGAGCAATCACGATGGCAACGGCCGTAATAGAAGCTAGAAGCTCCGAAAACGGTGAGGATCCAGAGGCCATCGACATTGGAGAACCCTCCCCCATCGGACGAGCCAGAACGTATGAAGGGTTTAAACCACAGGGTTCTTGCGGCTCCAAGGAGTGAGGATCGTTGAGTTTGACACGACCTGTGCATACCAGTGGGAGGAGGAGAAGGGTCAGCGGTTCCTCAAGCCCCAACAATTCGCAGGTACCTTGATCGACCTGGAGCCTCGACGGACGATGTGGTTGCAAGAAGGGCCACAAGCCAGTCATCGGAAAAGCCAGATCAGCGTGGTGAATATCCTTGGGGACTATGCCAAGCCTACGCCTCCAGACTTCTGGACCACTTTGAGAAAATAGCCGAGCTGGAGTACCTACAAGGAAAGGTACAACAGCTAACGGAGGCTCACATGGCTCTACCACAAGGACGGGTTAACTTAACCCTAGGTATATGTTGACCTAACTGACGTTATATCATAGTGTAACTGAGGTTATACATTTGTCTAAAACTGCGTAAGCTGCAGTAAGTGTTCCGCAGCACTTAAGCTTAGATACAGTGCACATGCTCTGTTTGTAAGTGTTTTATATCTTCTGAATCGAGATTTAAACAACTTATTCTAACTTACTGCGCACTTAAGCATACTTACAAAACCTTGTTTTTTTAATGTTTTTTGGTAAAGTCTGTTTTTTGGGGTTGTTTTTCTTGTTTTTTGAATAGATTTTGCTTTTTTTCTGATAAAAGTTGCTTTTTGAATAGATTTTTTGACTCGGTTCATTTCGATGGCTGTATACATGCACTATCATTGAGCATAATTAATTGTGTCAAAGGAGTTGCGCAGGTCATGTTGGCGGGTTGTCCGCTGTAGGAAAGCAGGGCGTTTGCGACAGACTGAAGGATAAACATTACTCACGCAACAACTCTTTCTGGAAAGAATTGTTGCTTTGTACATAGCAAGCTGTGTACCAGCTATCCTGCCAAGCAGGACGCTTCACAGACATTCGCCAGGACAAAGTTAAGACCAGGGCCTGATCTTTACTTTGCTGACTGTCCATTTGTACATAACAATCTTGTACAGGATCCCTGCCAAGCAGGGTGTGATAACCTCTGTCTTGGAAGGATAAGCCAAAATGGATGGGGTTGGCTGACATCATCTGACATCATTCTAACGACGTGTGTAGTCAGAATGTAGTCGGGCCTGACTTCGTTCTGACGACGTATGT